CACACACACACACACACACACACACACACACACACACACACACACACCCTTAAAGATCTAGTACAGAATAATTCAAGGGTCCCACTGTATTCTAAAATCTTCCCAGCTGGGATAATTGGCTTTGGAACCTCCCTTATCTCCATGACTCTCTCCCTCATACGCCAACATCTCTAACACATAGATAATTTATGAAAACAGAGTAGACACTTTTTAATAATTAAATGATAGATAATAGGAGCTTTTAAAGTAAGCTGTAAGAGCTTGGAAAAGGAGGGGAGACTAAGATGGTTAGCCATCCACATATTTATTTGAAATGACTCAAAAAGGTCCTTCACCTTGTACACCATTATCTGCGCCTGGAGGCCCCCCAGGTTTGCTCTGTTTGTTAGCCGAGGTCTTTTCCAGCAGGCGTTTGAAGCCGCAGTTATTCCAAGGGAGAACCAGACACCTGCCCCAATTTCCATCACCCGGCATCACCCACTCTATTCTCTCCAAATTACAGTGCAAACAATAACACAGGTAAAATTAGCCACGACACTAATTATGTAGCGCAAATGTGTAAAGGATATAGAATGATAAGTGGCAAATGCAGAACATGCTGTGTCATATCATGTAATCTCTCTGGCTGCCGAGCCTGGGAACAAAAAGAGACTTGTGCCCTGTTTGTTTAACATGCTCCATATCACAAATTGGAAATCCTTCCTAATTAAGATATTGTTAAATGTCCTTTGTTAGCAGGTTTTAACAATGTTAATTAGGAGGTTAGACTGATCATTGTTCATCTAGCAAAAGATTAGGGTGATTTGCATTGTAGCTTTTGAGAAACTTCTGAGCGAAACAGAGGAGTTTCCTTTCTGCAGGGAGGGGAACTGTGGAGAGAAGGAGGGGATGGGATGGGGAGAAAGGACAATGCTACTCCTAACATTTTTTAGGCTACGGGCCAAGGCAAAGCGTGAGGAAATGTAGCTGAGGGCCTAACAGCTGTTAGAAAGCAGTGCTGGCCTTGACCTTGTGGAATAACAGTATTTGCAGACGTAAAGTCGATCCCCGCCATGGTTCTCGCCTTGATAATTCAGGAGGCTGTGGTCAGAGAAAGCAGAGCCTTGAGGTCTCTCAATCATCGGTTGAGTAAGGGTGTGGATGGAGTTCAGGACACGCTATCTCAAAATGCAGCACCTGGCATGTTAAGTATTTTAAGCTAAAGGAGTTTGAGAAAACGGCAGGAAGGTCACGCTGACCTTTCCTCTGATTTTCTTTCCTGAAACAGGTCATAAAGCCCTCCTGTGAGAGGTGCCCTCCCTAGACCAGGATGAGAGGAACATCCTCATCTCCAAAGAAAAAGGGATGCGAAGAAGAATTGGGATGCACAGGCCTGGCTAAGCGTCCCCCAGTTTACTACTCTGACCTCATACCTGTTGTCCTAGGTATTCTTCCACGTCTGTGCTCTTCATCAAACCTGGCATCGAAACACCCAGATCTCACTTGCTTCAGGTCTTCATTTCCTTATGAAGCTCCTGTGTCGTATAAACCTTATACTCAATACGTGTGTGTACATATCTCCGGTTCATCTGTCTTTGTTGATTTAAGGTTCACACCCAATCAGGCACCCTAAGAGGCTCCCGAAAAACTTTTCCCTCCTCTTCGGCGTCTTCTTAAGCAAACAGAAACAATGCCGTGCCAGCCATATTTCAGACTCTTCTCAAATTACCATTGATTATTTTAGCACCAGATGAGTCTGTGCTCCTTCTTCTTTCCCCACCTCCTGCCACTTTTGTGCCCCCAACACACACACACATGCGATAAAGAAGGCAGCACATTTTTTTTCTTTTCTTTTGAAGGGTAGCAGAATATGCCACCCCAAAATATGACTGCAGGGGCCCAGGACATGCCACCCCGGCACATTGACTATTTCGAGCTGTCGGCACTTGAAAAACAACAGATTCTGGGAGAGACTTTCTCTCAACTCCCCTTATTTGCCTAAAGACAGATCCTCCAAAAGGAACTCCATCACTTGAGTCCCCTCCCCTCCCCTCCCCTCCCTTCCCTGGGAGTTTGATCAGCCAGGAAAAATTGACTCTTATCCCAGGAGGGAAGAGTAGAAGTTGACACCACACCCAGACAAACTTTGTCACAAATGGTCATCCCCTCCCACTTATTCTTCTAAGAGCCCATCCATCTCTCCTAAACATCATTTACTCTCCCCTAGGAGCCCTGCATCTGCCCTCCCCTTTCCCTATTAAGATGATATTTAAGCCTGAATTCTAAGCCACCCCTTTGAGTTACTCATTTTCCCCTGGTATCTCCCATGTATACATGAGGTACCCAAGTTCATAAACTTCTGTTTGTTTTTCTCTTGTTAATCTGTCTTTTATTACAGAGGCCCCAGCTAAGAGCTCAGAAGGGCAGAGGGAAAATTATTTTTTCTTTCCTTCCTCCCTTGCCCAATCCCCAGCCTGATACTGGAGGCGACTGGATTAAAAAGAAAGAAGGAAGGAAGGGAGGGAGGGAGGGAGGGAGGGAGGCCTCTGTGTTTAGCTACTTTGAAATTGCAAGTATGAGAGCAAAGTATATTTGGAGAGGAAGCAAGAGCTGGCTGTTTAAAAACTACCAGAGCACTTGGGTTTCTCTGATAATCTTGTTCTCTCTTGGCAAAGGTGCTTGCGGAGGGCTGGCATCCCAGCAAGAGGAAGTATTGACTAGAAATTGAACCCAGATTCTGAGTTCTGTTTTTGGCTTCATCAATGATTTCTGAGTACAAACTGAGGGTGAGTCACTGAACTAAAAGTCACACCTACTTGGAGATGGTACCAGGTATCTCAGTGCAGTGATTTTCTAACCACGCACACCCAGCTCTAGGGAAAAAACGTCTTACAGATATCCAGCAGCTACTCAGTGCCAGGCACTGTGCTAGGTACTTTACATAAATTTAATCACAGCTAGCACTTAGCTTCAATCACAAACAGCCCTGAGGCCCATTTAAGTCGCTCCCGAGCCTCTTTCATCCTTGGGGGACCCCATCTGCTGGGGGGATAAAAAGCCCTTTTATGTTCTACAGCCTCACAGACCACCCACCCCAGCAGTTTGTGCTTTGTCACAAAAACCCTCCATCTAATTAGCAGCGCACAATTTTGATGAAATACTGGTGAAATAAATTATTCATACATGTCAGAATCAAGTATAGATCGGATCATCTTGTAAACTGTTCCGATGTCTGTAATTTGCTATAAAGTGCTTTAGCATAGATAATGGGATATCATGTATGTGTTAGCTTAATTCACAACCTAAGTGTAGGAGGTGCTCTAACAGAAATTTACTTGTTAGGGGTGAGCAGTCAGAGTTCTCATTGGGAAGTCCAGCTACTACAAATGCACTTCCGTTATCTTATCTTGATCAATATTGGACAGTTTTTGAAAGAGCATGGCCAAGGTCAGAAATGGGTCTCCACTGGTGAATTTGTGGCTTGCTAATTAGCATACAGGCTGTTATACATGGGCTCTCACTGGTGAAGTTTGATCTGAGAGTCACATAACAGTGACATGTAGAGGTGAACTCAGTTTTCTGTTTCTTTGTGCTGTGTGCAGGCATAAATACGGATTCACGTGTGCCTTTGTTCTCTGGCCTGCCACGTCTGTCCCCACCAGCACATCTACGCCAGAGCAGGCACTCCACACACTCAGGGACTCAACACACGTCCCCTGAATGAATGATGAAAATTGCTCTGTCACGATGGGGGAAAATTCACCTAGGGTGGAAGATCCATCCACCTTTTTCAAGACCCAACGGAAAAACTGGGCAGGTGCGTATTTCACTCTTCAGTTTTCCAGATGAGGCTTCCATGAGTGGATACAGGTCGTGATGTGAACCCTTCAAAAGCGTCCGTGAACTGCTTCCTTCCACTTAGAACCCTTGGTTATCTCAAAGCCGGTCAACTCTTCCAGCCACCTTTATCCAGGGGCAGCAAGCAAGGAGACCATAAACTCATCCAGATTTAGGCCCTCAGTGCCCAGGAGGAGTGGAGAGAATATCCAGGCTATGGAATTCTGGCGGCTCATTATCATGACAAAGGTGGTGACAACTTGGACCGGAAGCTGAACAAAAAGCATCCACTGTTCTATTTGCAATTCTAGGATTGTATTTGTAATCTCTCTTTGCGGGAGAAAGAGACTGCCAGTAAAAGGCTGAAACACAATAGGAAGAGAGGCCGCACAATGCAGAGAGAGACCAAAGGGCTCCGTGCCTGTGCTCACACGCACGCTCCGTGTGCGCACCTTCCCTGTGTCTGTACACATTGCACAAGAGGAAATTATTGTCATGGGTAAGAGTTTAACATTACTGACCTGTAAGATGGCTTTTAAAAAATATATGCAACATGGCTGGAATGCCAATTGGAAGTGGAGAAGCATTTCGGGAAGATGAACTGGCTGCATGAATAGACATGGAGCAGCGCGAGCCGCTTTAATTTGTTCGCTTTGGAGTGTCTGGGAGTCAGCTAACGCTGTAACCTGCGAAGGAAGTCACCGTGAACGTGATTAATAACGTGGTGGGGGGAGGCTCTAGAGTTATTGTGCTGTGTAGGGTTTTGGTGTCAGGGAGGAGGTAACTGTTCCAAGAGTCACTGACAATTTTGGTTAACAAGTGATACAAATGGAACAGGTCACTCTGCTGTTCTTTGGAGCCCTCCCTCGCCCGGTAGCTGCTCAACTCTGCAAATTCTAATTCATTACCATTTGCTCCCCTTTTGTTACCTACCTAGCCAGTGACTGTAGCTGGGAAGTGTGTGGTGCAGGGACCATTCAAAAAAAGCTCATTGTCCCTGGAGCTCGAGGAGCAAAGCCATTGCTTTTGTTCAGCTGGAAAAGAGTGAAACCCACATTGCCTTCTATCGTCCCACTGCAAACTAGGCTTTTAATTGGCACGTTGGCGTTAGGATTTTAAAAGGTGTGCGATGACAGCTTAGAAGTGAGGCATCACGGGGGCAGAAGTGACTGCACCTCCAGCTTAATCCTGCCTTGAAATTTGTGTGTGCGTGTGCCGTGACTGTTCTCGACTCCCAGGAAATGCGTGTGGTTGCTATCAGTGGAAGGCAGACAGGGCTGCTCTTAGATCACAGGACCGCCGTTCAGAGGCTACACTAACCTTATGCTAAGATGCAGCGATCTCTTTTATTCCCTCCACCCCTCTGACCCCCTGATGGACATGAACAAAGTTGGCCCCTAACCACACTTCTCATTCTGCCTCCTTTGGTTTCCATCTTGTCAGGTACCCATGAATAAAAATGTCAGGTTGTCAATCCCATTTATGCTTACAAAGTGAACACCTAAGGACGAGACAATTAACACTGAGCAATTCAATGCAACACACATGTATCGAGCCTCTAACTATAATTGATCAAAAGTGCTGAGTCATTAACAAAGTCACTTTTGTGACTTTCGAGACAAAGTCAAGGTGATTCTTGCAGTTAGCCACGTGGGTGTGTGTTTGGTGTGTGTTTATGGCAGCCAGAAGAGGCTGGGAAGTTCAGTGTTGACAATGTGTAGGTGTGAGAACTGCACATCAACTCAGGTGAGTGCTAGCCTGCTGTCCTGGACTTGCTTTAAGTCTGGCTGTGGAGTTTCTACAATCTGAATTGACGCAGTGCTGTAATACTGATGACTGTGGAGAATCTATCTCTACTAAAAAAGTATCGAATGTGTGGAGTCCAGAACTGGGGTGTCTGATTACTCTATCTCTGTACTTTACTTCACCCAGCCTTCCAGTCCTCAAACATTAAGCAACATCATCAACTCTGTTCATGTACATGTAAGGGAGGAAAAAAATCTTTTTCTCCTTCCCTCCTAGATTCTCCAGCTGGGGATTTGTAAATTAGACTAACAAAAGAAGGATTAGGAAGAGAAAAACATACAGATGTACTCCATAGAAGTTTTAGATGACACAGGAGCCTTCAGAAAGAGATGAAGACCTGAAAAAAATGATTAAACCAGAGGGTTTTATACCAGGTTTGATGAAGAGTGGATAGTTGTAGGAAAGCGTAATAGGAGAAAAGAGTATGAGATACACGTAGTAAACCGTAGGAAACGCAGCAAGGCCTTTTCATTTGGATTCCCCTGGGGGCGGGGGGTCCCTCCATCTTTGGAGATAGGGATGCTCTTTTCCTCCAGGTATAGACAGGCCACCTGCCATGGGAGGGTCTTATGACCTGCATCAGGGAAGAAGGGGGAGGTCAGAGAATCCTTCCAGCATTTGCCGTTTCTATGCCCTTCAGCTTAAAATGCTCAGTATGGCAAGTTGCCATATTTTGGGGTCGTGTGCTCTGAACGCCATCAACATACATATATTCTTTAAGAAATTATCTGCTTCTTAAATCTGTATACACCTAGGTAACGCAGTCTCCATTTTATAGTAGACTGGTGCATCAATGAAAAGAAATATACTTCATTTTTTAAAAAAGTCCATAAAGAGAATCTTCTGCAAAGCCAAAGTGGTAGGATTAAGCTGTTTTTGTTTTTTAAAAAAATTATTCTTATTATCCCAGGATTAAAAACATTTTTCTTCCAAATTTAGTTTTGGAAATAGAGGATTCAGAGGTATTCAGTAACATATGGAACCAATATAAGCTGATAAACATATGCTATTAAAATAATAGCCCTTGTATTAATTGGTGTATTTTCCTGAAAAGCAGTTTCTCAATAGGCACCAAAGGCCTTTTAAACAGTGCACACCTATTGACCTAGTAATCACTCCCTAGGAATTTATCAGAGGGAAATGTTTGGACAAATGGACAAAGATGTACGACTGAAAACAATCAGTGTATACTTGTTTATAAATAGGGGCACATTAGGAAACTCTTTTAATGTCCATCAATAGAGGACTGGTTGGATAAACAATGGTATATTCATGCAATACAATATGTTATAATAATTAAGAATGCTGTTATAGAGAAATATATACATATTATCTTGGAATAATTCACACAGTATGTGACCAAGTGCAAATATCAAGTTAACAAAATATTATCTACACTATGGCTCTATCGTTGTAGGAAAACATTGGAAATTTGCACATAAAAGGTTAGCAGCAATACTCCTGAGCAACCAGTGAGTCATAGAAGAAATTTTAAAAAACCTTGAAACAAATAAAAGTGAAAACATAACATGCCAAAATGTATGGAATACAGCCAAAGCAGTTCTAAGAAGGAAGTTTATAGCGATTAACACTTACATTAAGAAAAAAGAGAGATCTCAAACAAACAACCTAACTTCAGACCTCAAGAAACTAGAAAAAGAAGAACTAACTAAGCCCAAACTTATCAGAAGCAAGGGCATAATAGAGATCAGAGAAGAAATAAATGAAATAAGGAATAGAAAACAATCGAAAAGATCAAGAAATCTAAGAGTTTATTTTTTGAAAAGATAAAATTGACAAATCTTTAGCTAGACTTAAGAAAAAAGAGTGAGGACTCAAGTAAATAAAATTATAAATCAAAGAGGAAACATTACAACTGACACCACAGAAATAGAAAGAATTATAAGAAACTACTAAGAATAGTTTTATGCCAACAAATTGGACAATCTTAAGGAAATAGATAAATTCCTAGAAACATACACCCTACCAAGATTGAATCATGAAGAAATAGAAAATCTACTGATTCAATCTTCTATTCAAGAATCAAAAAAATTTCCAGTAAAGAAAAGAAAAGCCCAGGACCAGTTACCTTCACCAGTGAATTCTACCAAATATTTAAAGAAGAATTAATACCAATACTTTTCACTCTTGCAAAAAATTAGAGAGAAAGGGACACTCCCAAACTCATTTACAAGGTCAGCATTACTCTGATACCAAAGCCAGATAAGAATACTACAAAAAAAGAAAATTACAGGTCAATATCTCTGATGAATATACATGCAAAAATTCTCAACAAAATACTAGCAAACCAACTTCAACAGCATATTAAAAGGATCATACACTATGAGCAAATGGAACTTACCCCTGGGATGCAAGGATGATTCAACATATACAAATCAATATATGTGACCCACCACATTAATAGAATGAAAGATAAAAATCATATGATCATCTCAATAGATGCAGAAAAAGAATTTGACAAAATTCAACATGTTTTCATGATAAAAGCTCTCCATAGGGGACTTCCCTGGTGGCACAGTGGTTGGGAATCCGCCTGCCAGTGCAGGGGACATGGGTTCGAGCCTTGGTCCGGGGAGATCCCACGTGCTGGGGAGCGGCTGGGCCCGTGCGCCACAACTGCTGAGCCTGTGCTCTAGAGCCCGTGAGCCACAACTACTGATCCAGCGTGCCACAACTGCTGAAGCCTGAGCACCTAGACCCCGTGCTCTGCAACAAGAAGCCTGCGCACCGCAACGAAGAGTGGCCCCCACTCACCACAACTAGAGAAAGCCCACACGCAGCAACAAAGACCAAACACAGCCAAAAAAAAAAAAAAAAAGCTCTCCATAAATTGAGGATTGAAGGAACATACCTCAACATAATAAAGGCCATATATGACAGGCCCCAGCTAACATCATACTCAATGGTCAAATGTTGAAAGCTTTCCCTCTAAGGTCAGAGACAAGAAAAAGGTACCCACTCTCAATAGTAGTTGAAAGGTACCACTACTATTCAACATGGCACTCAAGTCCTAGCCAAGCAATGAGGCAAGAGAAAGAAAAGATATTCAGGTCAGAAAGGAAGAAGTACAGTTATCTCTGTTTGCAGATGACATAATCTTATACATAGAAACTTCTAAAGACTCCACCAAAAAACCTGTTAGAACTAATATTTTCCTTCAGTAAAGTTGCCAGATACAAAATCAGCATACAAAATCAGTTGCTTTTTATATACTAACAATAAACTATTTGAAGAAAAAATAAAACAATCTCATTTACAATAGCATTGAAAACAATAAAATACTTAGGAATAAATTTAACCAAGGAAGTAAAAGACCTATACACTGAAAACTAAGACATTGACAGAAGAAATTGAAAAAGACATAAAAAGATGGAAAGATATCTCATGTTCACAGATCAGAAGAGTTAATATTGTTAAAGAGTCCATACTTCCCAAAGCCATTTATAGATTCAGTGCAATCCCTGTCAAAATTCCAATGGTACTTTTCACAAAAATAGAACAAGCAATCCTAAAATTCATATGGAACCACAAAAGACCCTGAATAGCCAAAGCAATCTTGAGAAAGAACAAAGCTAGAGGCATCACCCTTCCTGATTTCAAACTATGTTACAAAGCTATAGAAATCAAACAGTGTAGTAGGGCTTCCCTGGTGGCGCAGTGGTTGAGAGTCCGCCTGCCAATGCAGGGGACACGGGTTCATGTCCCAGACCGGGAGGGTCCCACATGCTGTGGAGCGGCTGGGCCCGTGAGCCATGGCCACTGAGCCTGCGCGTCCGGAGCCTGTGCTCCGCAACGGGAGAGGCCACAACAGTGAGAGGCCCGCGTACCGCAAAAAAAAAACAAAAACAGTGTAGTACAGGCATAAAAACAGGTACGTAGACCAATGCAACAGAATTGAGAGTGCACGTATGGCCAAGTAATATTTGACAAGGGAGCCAAGAAGACTAAGGGGAAAGAATAGTCTCTTCAATAAGTGCTGCTGGGAAAACTGAATATTCACAAACAAAAAAATGAATTTTGAATCCCTAAATTACACCATTCACAAAATTAACTCAAAATGGATTAAGGACTTACATGTAAGACCTGAAACCATAAAAATCCTAGAAGAAAACATAAAGAGAGAGCTCCTTGATATTGGTCTTGGTAATGATTCTTTGGATATGACACCAAAAGCACAAGCAACAAAAGCAAAAATCAACAAGTGGGACTTCATCAAATTAAAAAGCAAAAGAAACAATCAACAAAATAAAAACTGAAACCTACCCCCACTCTATCCAAGAAGGGGGCTGGCAAATATTACAATTGGAGTTCACTGG